ATCAGATTCTCGTCCGCCCACTTGCTGAGCCTGTCCAGGTCAGCCTAGATAACCTGCCTGTCTTCTGGTGTGGATGCTTTGCCCCAGAGGTTGGTGTCATCGGCGAACTTGGCCAGTTCTGATCGCTTCTGACTCCAGTGTCCACATCATTAATGAAGATGTTGAACAGTATGGGTCCAAGGACAGAGCCTTGGGGGACCCCACTGGTCACAGGACACCACGATGAGTGACTTCCATCGATTACTACCCTCTGGGTCCGACCCCGGAGCCAATTTTCCAGCCAGTGGATCGTGGAGGACCCAAGGCGACAATTGGCCAGTTTCTCCAAGAGGCGATCATGGGACACCAGATCGAAGGCTTTTTTGAAGTCAAGATATATGACATCAATCTCTTCTCCCTTGTCCAGGTGATAGGTCACCTGGTCGTAGAAGGAAATGAGATTGGTCAAGCAAGACCTACCCGCAACAAACCCATGCTGGCTATCCCTTAAGATGTTGGCGTTGGCCAGTCCATTAAGGATGGCCTCTTTAATAAACTTTTCTAAGATCTTCCCCGGGATAGAAGTCAGGCTGATGGGCCTATAGTTAGCTGGATCCACTTTCCTCCCTTTCTTGAAGATAGGCACCACATTGGCCTTCTTCCAGTCTTCGGGCACTACACCAGAGCTCCAAGAGTTTTCAAAGATCCGTGCTAGAGGCTGGGCTATGATGCTCGCCAGCTCCTTGAGTACCCTGGGGTGAAGATTGTCAGGGCCGGCTGACTTGAAGGGATCCAGCTTCTCAAGATGTTCCTTCAGAAAGTCAGCATTAAAGGAGGGCAGGGGATCACCCTCACCCGGACTTCCCGGCCCTGTAGCGGGCATGGGCGTCCCGTGGGACTGATGAAAGACCGACGCAAAGTACCTATTTAATAGGTTGGCTTTTTCCTGGGCGTCAGTTGTCAGTTGCCCCATCTGGTTCAGCACGGGTCCAGCGTTGCCCCTGCTTTTCCTCCGACTCCCCACATATCTGAAAAAGGACTTCTTATTGTCCTTGATGCTCAAAGCTAGCTGGAGTTCAGTTGCAGCCTTGGCTTTCCTGGTCTGCTCCCTACAGGACCAACTACTATGCCTTTCAGACTATGCGTGGAGCAAAGGATTTGAAGAAAGAGCTTAGCACTGAAAATAAATCTCTTCCCCTTCCTCTTGTGCTGTGATCTATCCATGAGGATTCAGAGACAGGGACAAACACGTGAAGGCTCACGGAACAGACTGGCTGTTTGGATTCTTGCTGGGATGATAAAGAATGGCTGTATAAAAATGTCAGCAGGGAATGACCAGGACTGGGTAAACCAAGATAGCACTGAGAATTACAGCCATGCCACTCCGCTCACCCCTGGCAATGCTGATGCAATTGACTCTTGTTTCGTAGAACTCATACCTGACTAAAGGCTGTCGATTCGAGTTCGGATTCTACCAGGCTGTCAGAATCTCTGGTACCTTTACCAGCTTGCTTAACCTGTCATCAACAGAAAGGAGGAGACATAAGTCAAGTGCCAGTAACAGTGAACTTTCTGGAGTCTGAGGTAACCCACCAGATCTACCTGGGACACAGGTTGGTTTGGGGAAATGAGAGGATTCCTGTTCTTGTCCTCATAGCTATTGTCACTGGAGGCCCCTTCTACGCTTCTGCGTAACAAAATCCTCTGTGCCACAGCTTCAGCATCCTCGTCACTTGACAGCTCATCAGAAATGCCACCTGTGTGCATGGAGCCCTCCTGGAAGAAGAGCACCCATTCAAGCCAATGTTAGGAAACAGGGCTAACAAAACCAAGCTGACCACCACCGCTGCCTGGGCCACGCTACCAATGCAACACTGTGCCATTCTGCAGCCTCACCTCTACATCTACAGTAGGCAGTAAGAGGGAACTAACTTTGGAAGGCATAGGCAACCTATGGTCTAGCCAGGCCTCCCTGCAATGGAGAGAGAGGGGAAGAGACGTTGCAAGAGGAAACCTCACCCCTCCAATAACAAACCAGAATGGGATGAAAGGTCATGGTCTGCTCCTTGCTGCAAGCAATCACAGGCTTCAAAGAGCAGCCCTGCACACAAGGCACTGCATTCTCCTATGTGCAAGATAGGGCTGGGTGCCTTGAGAGACATGTCTCATATGCTAAAACTGTTCCAAATGTCTCCCTTGTGTACAGCAGCCTTTGGGGAAGAAGAGCATGGCTCGTTTCAAGGTTCTTACCTAACTACTTCAAGCAGGACTGTGGTGGGGGGGCCCTCACTCTGAACCCAAATCAAAAAGGAACCCAAAGCATTACTATTTTAGTGCCTGCACAGAAGAAATCAGATGTCAGCTGCTAAGATCTGCAAGTGCAGGGGCTTGAGATGGCTGCATTAGGAATTCTGTTCATGTTTAAAGGAATTCCATTACTGGTGATTTAATCATCCAGTCCTTGAACTGAGGGCTCCCCAAAAACCAAGCACTTACTTCAGTAGAAAGGACCCATATTTCTTTTCCCATAGGTTTCTGCATTTAGCATATCAGACTGTGCCCTATCAAGTATTCAAGATGGGATTTCTATTTACATCTCACAGGTAGGTGTCAGAACCAAGAATCACGCAGCTGAAAAGCCAGTACAGTGATAAAAACGATTTCACGTTTCTTTTAATTACCTGATGATTCTTTCCCCCATCTGCAAGTTTCTCTCTCTCTTTCAAGTGTAGTAGTCGATATTCGGATCTGGACTGTCTGTGTTTAACGCCACTGTTGACAGAACTCACGCTGTTTTCTGTTTCAGTCCCTTTTTCAGCTACCAGTTTCACTCTCCTGAATCTGGTGGAGAAAATGTGACAAAATATTTCTGATTTTGGAGCTAAATTTCTTTAACTTTCTCTGTCACTTGCTTGTGTGGGTGCAAGACTAAGCAATAACAACTGGGAAGCTACAGAATTCCCTTTTGATTTCAGGCACTTGGAATACTAACTCATCCTCCTTTCCTCTGATTTTCATTATATTGTAGCAAAATGGAAAATGGATCTGGACTGTTTAAATGAGGAAGGGGATCAGTCTTTGAACTGTGCAAACAAAAAAATAACAAAACAGAGGGCAAAGGGGCAGCAGAACATATAAGCCCATGGAGTTGTGACAGAAAGAGGGGCCCCATCACTCTGCAACTGTGGGGGCCTAAACTAAACACCAGGAATCCTCCTGTATCCAGGTAGAGGACTGATTCCCAGAGCCCAGGCTTTGTGGTTGTGGCTGAAATCATCTCATCTCCTTGTGGGGCGTGTGCCTGTCACTCAATAAACACTTCCCTTAACTTCTTTAACTCCTCATTTCCCACACAGCAGCACTACAAACACTCATACCCGCCTAGTACCACACACCTCCTTCGGAAGACCAGGCCAAGCAAACTGCTGACGAGGGACAGAAATTCTGATTGCTCTTCTCCTTTACTAGCTTTATCAGAAGAAGACAAACTGCCAGTGTCTCTGCACCCATCCCCACCGGCAGATTTCCGTAATTTTCTGTTAAAAAAGGAGGGAAATGGGTATTAAAGTTTGACAGAAGAAAAAATCTATACTTCTTAAAGACAGAATTAGATCCAAACAGCCACTCTACCAACAAGCAAATGACATCCGTGTTTCTGTATGTAAGGAGCACAGCACATGCTCCAAGGGCCAAATACACACCACTATAATTTAAACTGAAAAATTATGCAGCACAGAAATACAGACACAGTCTCTGCATGGAAACTAGCAGGGACAGAGTTTCTCAGCCTCCCTCTCCACCTGAAGGGCAGAATGGAGACCAGCATTCCCCAGTGCTATATTCAGTTAACAAGCTGCAAAGTCCTCCACAAAGCAAAGAGAAAAGATGTAAGAAATGCATGGGTGAGAGCCACACCACTCTGCCCCTTCTGAATGTGCATCAGAAGCCTCTCAGAGTTATGGCAAAAGCACGTCCCCAGGTAAGCTCCCAAGCCCAGAAGCACAGCCTGGTCTGAGAGGTGACCTCCTGGCCACAAACGGAACCTGGACATAAAAGCTACATTCAAAGGATGAGAGCCTAAGTGTAAACCTGGCGAAAGGGCAAGTATCCTCAAGGGAGCGATCCTCAAAGCACAAACTAAGTCTATTCCATCTCGGAGGAAAGGCAGCAAGAGGGCACAGCAACCCCCCTGGCTCTCCAGGGACCTAGCAGGCCTCCCGAGGCTAAAAAGAAAGGCCTACAAAGGATGGAGGATGGGAGTCACCTCCAAGGAGGATTACTCTGCACTGGTCCGGTCCTGTAGGGAGCAGACCAGGAAAGCCAAGGCTGCAACTGAACTCCAGCTAGCTTTGAGCATCAAGGACAATAAGAAGTCCTTTTTCAGATATGTGGGGAGTCGGAGGAAAAGCAGAGGCAACATTGGACCCCTGCTGAGCCAGATGGGGCAACTGACAACTGACGCCCAGGAAAAAGCCAACCTATTAAATAGGTACTTTGCGTCGGTCTTTCATCAGTCCCACGGGACGCCCATGCCCGCTACAGGGCCGGGAAGTCCGGGTGAGGGTGATCCCCTGCCCTCCATTAATGCTGACTTTCTGAAGGAACATCTTGAGAAGCTGGATACCTTCAAGTCAGCCAGCCCTAACAATCTTCCCCCCAGGGTACTCAAGGAGCTGGCGAGCATCATAGCCCAGCCTCTAGCACGGATCTTTGAAAACTCTTGGAGCTCTGGTGTAGTGCCCGAAGACTGGAAGAAGGCCAATGTGGTGCCTATCTTCAAGAAAGGGAGGAAAGTGGATCCGGCTAACTATAGGCCCATCAGCCTGACTTCTATCCCGGGGAAGATCTTAGAAAAGTTTATTAAAGAGGCCATCCTTAATGGACTGGCCGACGACAACATCTTAAGGGATAGCCAGCACGGGTTTGTTGCGGGTAGGTCTTGCTTGACCAATCTCATTTCCTTCTACGACCAGGTGACCTATCACCTGGACAAGGGAGAAGAGATTGATGTCATATATCTTGACTTCAAAAAAGCCTTCGATCTGGTGTCCCATGATCGCCTCTTGGAGAAACTGGCCAATTGTCGCCTTGGGTCCTCCACGATCCACTGGCTGGAAAATTGGCTCCGGGGTCGGACCCAGAGGGTAGTAATCGATGGAAGTCACTCATCGTGGTGTCCTGTGACCAGTGGGGTCCCCCAAGGCTCTGTCCTTGGACCCATACTGTTCAACATCTTCATTAATGATGTGGACACTGGAGTCAGAAGCGATCAGAACTGGCCAAGTTCGCCGATGACACCAAACTTTGGGGCAAAGCATCCACACCAGAAGACAGGCAGGTTATCCAGGCTGACCTGGACAGGCTCAGCAAGTGGGCGGGCGGCTAGTAAAGCGACCAAAAAGCTGGCTTGCATCCATCGATGCTTCGCGAGCAAATCCCGGGACGTCATTCTCCCCTTGTACTCGGCCCTAGCGAGGCCGCAGCTGGAGTACTGCGTCCAGTTTTGGGCTCCACAACTCAAAAAGGATGTGGAGAAGCTTGAGAGAGTGCAGAGAAGAGCCACGCGCATGATCAGAGGTCAGGGAAGCAGACCCTACGAGGGCCGGCTGAGAGCCCTGGGGCTCTTTAGCCTGGAAAAGCGCAGGCTCAGGGGTGATCTGATGGCCACCTACAAGTTTATCAGGGGTGACCACCAGCATCTGGGGGAACGTTTGTTCACCAGAGCGCCCCAAGGGATGACGAGGTCGAATGGTCACAAACTACTTCAAGACCGTTTCAGGCTGGACATAAGGAAGAACTTCTTTCCTGTCCGAGCCCCCAAGGTCTGGAACAGCCTGCCACCGGAGGTGGTTCAAGCGCCCACATTGAACACCTGCAAGATGAAACTGGATGCTTATCTTGCTGGGATCCTATGACCCCAGCTGACTTCCTGCCCTTTGGGCGGGGGGCTGGACTCGATGATCTTCCGAGGTCCCTTCCAGCCCTGATGTCTATGAAGTCTATGAAATCTATGAAATCCCAGGCAAACTTCTCCAAACTTACATTTGAGCGAACTGGAGAAAGAAGGGGGAAGGGGACAGGCTAAGCGTGGAAGAGCCTGTGGAACACACCATACTAATACTCACATGCTACAGTCATACACAACATTTACGTAAAACCACAGAGGATCTCCACCCATTCGCTTTGACACTGCACCATGTACTGCGATTGCATCAAACACACCCAGTTAGTGCACCAATATCTGTCTCACCTCCTCCTCCTGCTGCTGCTGCTGCTGCTCCCCGAGGGCTTGTTCACCTGGGTGGACACTATCTGACAGTGAACAGTTCCCATCAGTAGCATAAGGCACATTGGTCCAATGATTTCACTTGCACTCACAACAGGTACCAGGAAATACAACACAACTGCAACCACTGAAAAGGAGACGCAGTATCAGATGGAAAATCTGCAGGGGAGCTCCCCACAAAGAGCATGAAGGGGACTCAGCTCAGCTTCCTGCTTGTGCCGCAATCGCTTATTTTTGCTGAGAGCGTGCCCTTTTGCACCGGCTCCCTGCTCATCTTTGGGTGCCTGGCACTGTTCTTCTGAAGTGTCTTCTGATTATGAATGGGAGCTTTGAAAACCTACTAAAACAACAGATGCAGAAGCACAGATTCATCGTCTGCTCTTTAGTGTCTATGAAAAGGTCACCCACCTTCAGCAGAGGCAGCTTCAGTTCCAGGAATCGCTATTACAAAGCTCGGCAGACAAAGAGGGCTGCTGAAAGATAACTCTTTGCAGCGTGAGATGAGCGGCCCCACGTTTCCCAGCACAAGTGTCGTCACTAAACTGCTTCCCCTACTAGAGTGGGGCAGGACAGCATAGGGTTAGACAGGCTATTTATCAACCGAAAAGGAGCAGCCCGGGTTGGGGCAAAGCAGGTTTCCTCCACACTCGGACTGTCTTCCTGACCTGGAGGATTCCCTCAAAGGACAGCAGCGGTTGGACTGCAAAGGGGTCGACCGCATGCAAGAGTCCGCAGTGACCGGGCGGACAGCGCGCGGCTGATTAGCATCGCAGATGTTAAGACCGGAGGGGACGATGAAAACCGCCCAGGCTGCCCTCATGCAGAGCACAAGCCAGAGACCGTCCCTGCAATTTCTGTATCAAAGCCATAGCCGGCCACGGAGCCGCGGCATGATAGTGCAAGCAAAGCTAAAACGCTCGTGTACAGCATAAACAACCGAAGCCGCGGTACCCGTGGCAGGTTCAGTGCCACGTAAAGAAGGTGCGAGCCCTTCCTTCTCTAGGCGCTTGCGCGGCCGCTACCGCTGCCAGAGCCCCTGACATGCACCGAGGCACGAGCGTCCTCCTCTCATCTCACCCACGGGGACCTGAAGCAGGGGCTGCTCGCGCGACCTCCCCACCGACAGAATCAGGCAGATCTCCTGGGCCGTGACCCAGCGTCTTCATCACGAGCTGGGCGGAGCGAATGCAGCACGGCCAGCCGTTTAAAACCCTTCACAGCGGACGCAAAGGCGGTGCCCGGCGGCGTGATCCGTGGAGACCCGCGCGCGGCGCCGGCAGACAGCCCCGCACACGGGCCCTCCTGCTCGGGCGGCGCGCTGCTCACCTTGCAGGAGGTGCAGGCCCAGCAGCCAGGTGAAGATGCGCGGGGACGTGACCTGCACCCACCAGCGGCTGAAGAGCGGGAAGAAGACCACGCGCACGATCCCCTTCCCCGTCAGCGAGGTCCAGGGGATGTCAGGCTTGGCTTTGGCGAAGGTGGAGCCTTGGAGACACGAGGGGCTGACAGCAGGGGGGCCCCGCCCCGGCCCGGCCCG